AAAAAAAAAAAAAACTAAGAATTTTTCTTAAAGCTTAAATGTCTAAGCATGAACAAAGATGTTCAAAATTGAGTAAGAGTTATCAACATAAAGGGTTATATTAATGTAATCTTTTCTACAATTGTGGAAAATGCATCTTTTTCTTTTTTTTGAGACAGAGTCTCACTTTTTGTCCCCGATAGAGTGCCGTGGCATCATAACTCATAGCAAACTCAAACTCTTGGGCTCAAATGATCCTTTTGCCTCCCAAGCAGCTGGGACTATAAAGTGCCCACCACAACACAAGGCTACTTTTTTAGAGTGAGAGTCTCACTCTTGCTCAGGCTGGTCTCCATCTCATGAGCACAAACAATACACCCACCTTGGCCTCCCAGAGCGCTGGGATTACAGGTGTGAGCCACCAAGCCCAGCCTGTGGATAATCCATTAATGATAAAAGCAAAATTCATTGATACATTAATTACTATGGCAAAACACAGATTCCAGTGGAAGACTAGAATAAAAGATGAAAACACAAACATACATAATTCTAGAATAGTACTGAATATGGAACATGCAGCAAATTTTGTGAATTAGCAAGCATGCCTAAACACTGAAGATATTTTAAAATATCTTGGTGAAATTTCTCATGGAGACTATGTAGCTTCAAAAATTCAGTTTGTCACAATACACAGAATGGTATAAAAGTTAAGAGCACTGAGTTTTGGGATTAGAGACATAGGATACAATGCCAGTTTCACCATTTACTGGCTATGTTACAAATTATTTAACCTATTTTAAATTTCAATATCTTCAGCTTTAAATGACAATAAACACTCAGACCTCATAAAGTTGTCATAAGCGTTAAGTGAGATGATGCAATTGTTTGTAATATTAAGCTCTTACTAGATAATAACTTAATAATGGAGCTAGCACCTTGCCAGGTACTTGCACAATGGAAAAGAAATACAAAAGATTAATGATTGGAAGATAAATCATTATTTAGAGCTTGGTGGGATATGGGGATGACAGCTAAAAGGTATGAGATTTCTTTCTTTCTTTTTTTTTTTGAGATAGAGCCTCAAGCTGTCCCCCTGGGTAGAATGCCGTGGCATCACAGCTTACAGCAACCTCCAACTCCTGGGCTCAAGTGATTCTCCTGCTTCCACCTCCCAAGTAGCTGGGACTACAGGTGCCCACGGCAATGCCCGGCTATTTTTTGGTTACAGCAGCATGTTGTTTGGCAGGCCCAGGCTGGATTCAAACCTGCCAGCTCAGATGTACGTGGCAGGTGCCTTAGCCACTTGAGCCACAGGTGCCAAGCCTCTTTCTTTTTTTGAGACAAGAGTCTCACTCTCTCCCCTAGGCTAGAGTGCTGTGGCCTTAGCCTAGCTCACAGCAACCTCAAACTCCTGGTTTCAAGTGAACCTCCTGCCTCAGCCTCCTGAGTAGTTGGGAATACAGGCACACACCACAACATCTGGCTAGTTTTTCTATTTTTCAGTAGAAATGAGATCTTGCTCTTGCTCAGGCTGGTCTCAAACTCCTGAGCTCAAGGGATCCTTCTGGTTTGGCCTTCCATAGTGCTTAAGATTACAGGTGTGAGCCACTGCACTGGGCTTCTTTCTTTTTCAATAGACTTTATTTTCAGAGCAGTTTTAGGTTGACAGCAAAATGAACAAAAGATATAAAGTTCCAATATATCCCCTTATCCTACACATGTATAGGCCTCTCCCACTATCAATGTTTCACAGCAGAGTGGTACATTTGTAACAACTGATAAACCTACATGACACAGCATTATCACCCAAAGTCCTTTTCTTTGGAGACAGAGTTTCTCTCAGAAGCAGGGGGTTAGAGTGCAGTGGCGTCATTACAGCTTACTGCAACCTCAAACTCCTGGGCTCACACGATTCTTCTGCCTCAGCCCCATTAGCCTCCCAAGTAGAGAGGACTACAGGTGATTAACTGGGTCTACAGGTAGGTACTGCACCACCACACACCTCACCCCCATTTTTCTTTTTTTAGTAGAGATCAGCTCTCAACAACTCCTGGCTTCAAGACATCTGATCAGCATCTCACAGTGCTAGGATTATAGACATGAGCCACCAGACCCGGCTCAGAGTTCATTCTTGATGTACATTCTATGGGTCTTGACAAATGTACAATGACATGAATCTATCATTGTAACATTATAATATCACAGTGAATAGTTTTACTGCCCTAAAAATCCTCTGTGCTCTGCTTACTGATTTCTTTATGAAATGGTGAGATGTTCTAAATTGGCTGTGGTGATAGTTGCATGTATCTGTGAATATAATGAAAATCATTCAATTGTACACTATAAGTGGGTAGATTGTATGGTATGTGAATTATAGCTCAGTA